AGGAGAGCACCCGGTTGGCCACAGCTACATCCACGGAGACAGAGGGCGCGATCCTCTTGGTGCCCGCGGATGCCGAGTCCCAGGTGGTGTTGAAGCCGGGCGAGATCGAGACCCCAGGACCCGCCAAAGTTCCTCTGCAGAAGCCCATGCCAAAGAAGCCCAAGGTGAAGAAGATGCCCCAGAAGCCCCTCGTGAAGAGAATGCCAAAGGCAGCGAGCTCTTCGTCGACAAAGAGGACCCCCGTGAAGCTGGTGCCTCGTTCCGATCGCCAGCAGCCGTGGTTGACGTTGTGGAGTGCAAGTTCAAGAGCAGTGAAGAAGCAGAAGCTCAAGGAGAGCCGCATGACGTCAGCTGCAAAGTCCGATTTGAATCGCTTTCGCAGGGAGAAGAAGGGCCCAGAGAGGCGAACGCTGGAGGAGCACCTCAAGGAGCATTTTTTGCAGTGCCTGGACCGCAAGGCCCCCTACACTGTGACGACCATCTCCGAGATCATCAAGGAGAAAGCAAAGCCCCCGAGCCCACCGAGGAAGGAAGCCGACTCCCCGGGGTACCCGGAGAGGTTGCCTACCCCTCCGCGGGTTCCGCCACGTCGACGCTTGCCCACGCCTCCGAGGAATCCGACATCGGCAAGGGCCAGCGCATCACGGGCACCAGCTACGCCGCCAAAGACATCGCCATTGCCGCCACCACCGACCAATCCCGGAACGCCTACTTCGAGTGGATGGAGTGTGGTGACGGACCGAAAGCGCTGAGTGCAATCAGCCAGAAAGGATCTTCCCAGGCAATGGCGAGCAGCAAAAGTCTTGATGTGCTTGATGGTTGTGCTTGCGCTTGTGACGTTGGCATGAGTGGCATGGTTGGCATGAGTGGCATGGTTGAGCATGTGTGTGTTGGTGAGCTTGATCAGGAGAAAGCACCGGCCCCAGACGGCGACCAGGCGTGGTTGCTACGTGGTGATCAGGAGTTGCTTCACCAGGAGTTGTGGGGAAAGGTTCACCGTGAGCATGTGTTGCGAAGTCATGTTCCTTTTAATTCCAGCTGTGAGCATTGTGTGCGTGGCAGAGGCCTTGAACCAGCTAGGAAAATCGAGAGGGATTCCGGAGAGGGAGCCCAAAAAGGGGTGTAGAAGTTCGAGAACTGTGCGTCATCCTGTGAGGGTGCGACACGGTGAGTTTTGCAGTTTGCAGTTTTGTGTGCATAGCTTGGAGTCTGCTCAGCTTTTGAAGTTTTCCCAGTAGCCTGAGTATGATTAGTGATGCAGGAATGTTTTGCCTCATAGGGAACCACTCTCGTCGAGTTTCGTGACTTGAGGGTAGTTTTGGAGGTCTTTTAAGCCGAGCTGGCAAGTTGGAGAGCTGTGATACGTTTTCCACTTTGGCTCAAGTGACGAGCACTGGTGTGAGTGCTGCAAGCCAAAACAGAAGTGTTGTCCGAGTGTCTGAGCTTGCTTGCTTGGTTTGGACTTGTGTGAGTTGGCTTGGTTGTATCCTTGGTGCCTTGCTTGGCATCTTGGGTTTTTAACGGAAACCACCAGAGCACGGCTCCAGAAAGAATTGGCGATGGGTTGGAGCCTTTTACACAGCAGTTACGCAGAATATGTTGCGCCATGCAACCTGCCACCCATGTTGCTTTGGTCGCTGGCTTTGCTGCACAAGCAAAAGATCAAGCAGCAAGAGTTGGACGAGAGGCGCTCTACAAGAAGAAGGGCTGGTTCCCTTGGCAATACAGCCTATGACTGCCAAGACGCAGGCGACTGACTACCCCGCAACCCACAATTTAGACTTGAGCCCACATGCCGGCGCATTGCAACGTGACCGCGGCACCATTCCAAGTCAAAAGACCCGCCCAGCGATGAATCTGGTGCAAGCATGTTTCTCCGCTTGCGCACGCCATTTTCTGTGCCCGTCCAAGCCAGCTTAGAATGTGCCACTGCGGGCGGAAGAAAGGTTCATGCAGAAGAAGACCTTGGCAAGCTTCTCTGTGGAATCAAGCCTTCTAAAAATATCTGGAGTTGGGTAAGTTGACCGCCGCAAGCAAGCAACCGACTGGATGGCTCCAGGTAATCAAGTGCCACAGACAAGTTAGTCCGCTGGAAACTTTGCCAACAACAATTTCTTGTCTATCGCACCATTCTAGCCATGGTGGACACTCCGTGTTGTGCAAGCACCACTGATTCAACAGAGATCTAGAAAACACCCCACCACAGCACGCAAGAATTTTAACTGGATTCTCTCCATGGTGTGGAAAAGGAGAAATGAGAGGGTTGCGCCGAAGAATGAACGTCAGAACTGGTAAGAACTTCAAGTAAAGGCGGCAGGGCAAGCGTACTTAAGCTGCATGAGTTTGCGCAAATCCAACATGCTAATTGCCCAAGGTGCACCAAGTCTCTTGCCATTGTTCATGTGCCTTGTAGCCAAATGGCCTCCAACCATCTGAAAAAAAAGCAGTCTACAACGGTTGTGGAGAGCCAAAATGCAGCGTGGACAAGTGTTCGGTGCAAAAAAACTGGCCAATAAGCATGGATTTTGTTGGCTCTCCACCGGAACAAGTCCGGTTAAACTTTGTGAAAAGCTGTGTAAGAAGACACTCTACCTTAAGGCGTTTGGATGGTAAAGGAATTCTTGTATTCAAAGAACGATTGTTTGCTAGGGGCCCAACAGGCCGCCAGAATCCATGGTGCGTAGCTCTGGCGATTAACGGGGGGCGGCTGTTGCAGGTTGGCGCATGGAGACGAAAGAGTAGTAAATGGGCAGCGAGCTTAGCCTGAGGAAGAAGACCTTGTAGCTGCGCATTGAGGTGATCGCAATTCAAGAGGCATGCAGTGTGACCGGGAGCGCTATAATGCAGGCCCACCAAGGTGGCTGGCAAAGCAAGTTGCGCCAACTTGGGCAGACAGAGCCCAGAGTGCGCAATTTCATGTCACAGTGATACCACGAGTGACAAGACATGAAAGTTGTCAAGACATACATCCTTCAAAATTTGGGTCCTATTCTGCTTTAGACCGGGGTCCGACTATTTGGGATTGTAGCATTGGCAAGGGTGACTGTATATCGGGCATGCAGAGCATTTGGTAATGGCAATCAGGTCGTGCAGTATCTTGAGGCTTTGCAGCTCAAAGATAAAGCTGCAGAAGCGCAGTTGCTGTACAGATCCAAGGTCAGTTAGAGAATCCCCACTGCTCCTTTTTTGGGGCTCATGACATCCTTGGCATCCTGGACCTTCTTGGCAGTGCTTGTAGCACAGGCAGGACAGGGCAGTCCTCATAGCCATCAATAAAGGGTCCCAAATGCTTGTCAATATGATCCCCTTGCAACCTGTCAGCAGTTGTATTTCGATCTTCTAATTTGCCAGGCCCCATCTGGCACTTTTTGCGAGGTTCAAGTATGGAAGTTTTCACGATGCTGACATCTCGCTCAGTCAGTTCTTCCTTTATCGCTTTGACAGTTTCGGTCTTGGACTGTATTCGTACAACAGCTGGACATCAATCAGGTTGCTGTTGCTCGCTCCGGCTAGGAACGTTAACAACGTGGCAAACGTACCCTTCTGCTTCATGTTGTTGTTTGGATCGAACGGGACCTGCTTTTTAGGCCAAGTGAAGCCCTGAAGTTTGTAGGACAGTCGCCTTGGCAGCCGTCGCCTTGCTGGTGCTTCCGGGCATACATTCACTGTTGCTTGCGCCCAAGCCGGTCACTGCAGATTAGCTTCTTTTTTTGATCTGTTGCGGCGCTGAGGTCGGGCATCCTTATGACTGTGAGGCAGGCTTATCAAACTGGTTTCGTGCTTGGCTTCCTGCCTGAAATTGGGGGGGGGGGGTCCTCAACTATGATACGTGCGGGGGTCCCCATTGTAGTATATTCCTTGTTATCTAGCGTACTCAGCAGAAGACTTTCAATCTAAAACACCCCCCAACTGGCTTGTTGTGTTGAATCGTCCCTTGATGCCGTGCAGTGCGATGCTTGCAGTGCTAGTTGCTTGAGCCGTAAGCAAGTCTATGTCATCTGGCACAGATCCCAAGGTCCAATTCCAAGAAGGACTTCTGCTGCCGCCATTTCCACAAGGGCTGCCTTCCTTATGATTGCAGCCTGCATGCAAGCCCAGATCCTGCGACCAACATGCATCTTACATGCTTGTCTGCAAATATTGAGAAGTGGATGAGTGCATGCAGAGTTCCTCAGTCGTGCTGCCCCCGGCCTTTTTGGGGCTTGCAACTAGAGAAGTTAGCACCCTCATAATCCAACATGCAGCCTGGATCCATCATGGAATGTGGCACATGCTCACTCAGCGATTCTTAATCGCTTAAACCTCGGACCATGCAGGGGCCATTTAAGGAACTATATGGAGCGGAGAAGCACAAACTCTTTTACGGCAAGGCCCCACCAGCAGCTGTGCTTCAGCTGAGGTGACGCCGCATCCGGCAACCCGCCCAGCGCTTACGCAGAAAGCCCCCATGGAAATGCGCTGGCTCATGTCAACTCAGATGAGGCATCATGCTTGGTCCGCTGACGAAAAAGCTTGGTGCTGTGAGAATGAGCAGAAAGGTCCCTTGGCCACACACGGGGAACTAATGGTTAAACATCAGCTGCTGCGTGATGCAAAGAACGGCTTCTGCCAAGGCTGCCTGAAGGACAGAAGGACTCCACAGAGTGATCCCAACTGGAAGCCTCTTGTCTGAGCTAAGAGCTTCAACTGGTTTCGGTCTGTAGCTGAAGTACAAGCCCGCCTTGCTTAATGTAGGTATCGAGAGTGAGAGCAGCTCAAAAGGCCCTTCGGCAGACCTTTAGGCAGCCCCCACGTGGTTGAAGGTCCAGCCTTAGCAATGTATAATTTTGTATGCAAGACCGAGATCCTGGTGTCACATGCTGATCATGCAGCCCAGCAAAGGAAGGTTTCTCTGGCACCCGATTGGGCTTGGCAGGCAGGGGTACGGTTGCTGCTTCTGTGATGGAAGCGTGGATCTGCCAATCTCCCTCTCGTGACAGATCTCTCTCCTGAGTACGAAAATGGGTTTTGGCCAGGTAGAAGAGCAGACCAGGAAGATGCTTGACTTGATGCACTTTGACTGCAATGCAGCCCTCAACAATTTCTTCGGAGCATGGTCGCCGGAGAAGAAGCATTGGTGTTGCACCAAACAGGGCAAAGGTTGCGAGGGCTCACGTCCCCCTGCCGTTGATGCTGGACCTGGCATGGTATGGAAGCGCACACAGGTGAACGGGCATTGGACCTGGGTGGCCGTTGCTGTCGGTCGTCACTATGACTGCTACGCTGGATACAGCAACTGGTACTTTGGATGGTCAGTCTCCAAGAAAGGCTGGTGCTGCGACCATGAGAATCGTGGATGCCCAGGCACCTGGCATGGTTCCTACATTTATGATTGCAGTGCCGGCTTCTCCAACTGGCTGCAGGGCTGGAGTGCCTCCAAGAAAGACTGGTGCTGCAGAAAGGCGCACAAGGGCTGTGTGAAATACCACTGCACGGGCAATGCCGATCTGTGGGCCTATGAGAAGCGGAAATGGTGCTGTGGGCACTTTCGGAAGGGCTGTGCCTACACTACGCTCTCTCCCCTGAAGTGCGACACACCGTGTGAATTGCACGGTGAGACCGAAACCTGCTTGAATCGCATGAAGTGGAATGCTGAACACATACTTGCAGGCAGGAGCAACCGGTGCGCGCTTGCCTACAGTAAGGTGCAAGTGGAGTGCGATGTGTGCCGATCTTGCAGCTTTCAAGCAGCCTGTGAAGTGCATTCCGTGGGTACCCTGCCATTCGACTGCAATGCAGCCCTCAAGAATTTCTTCAGAGCATGGTCGCCGGTGAAGAAGCATTGGTGTTGCACCAAACAGGGCAAAGGTTGCGAGGGCCCGATTCCTCCAACGGTTGATCCTGGACATGGCATGGTATGGAAGCACGCTCTGGTGAACGGGTACTGGACCTGGCAGGCCGTTGCTGTCGGTCGTCACTGCACGGGCAATGCCGATCTGTGGGCCAATGAGAAGCGGAAATGGTGCTGTGATTTCTTTCGGAAGGGCTGCACAAACAGGATGCGTTTGCACAGTGCAGCTGCAAGAGGTGATGTCCAGGAAGTGGATGAAATCTTGACCAAGGTTCCCCAAGCCGTCAATGCCAAGGGTGATGGTGGTCAGACTCTGCTTGCTCAGGCTATCATCAGTGGTTCTGAGGCAACCGTACAGGCTGTCCTGAGGCATAGGGCAGATGTGAATGCCGTTATGAAGCGCGGGTATACCGCTTTGGTAGTCGCAGCAAGTCAAGGCACAGCCAATATGGTGCAAGACATCCTGAACTCCAGGGCCAATCCAAATGCTCACCGGGCGGATGGCTCCACAGCTTTGACGCTTGCAGCTGAAACCGGACATGCAGCTACAGTCCGGATCATCCTGGGCAGCAGCAATGCTGACATCAATACAGTGACACACTTCGGTGAGACAGCCTTGATGCTGGCCAGCCACAGCGACAAAGAATCCGCTGCGAAGGTACGCAGCATACTTGCACACAAGCCCAATTTGCAAGTTACAAGACCTCTTGATGGCTCCACTGCCCTGCATTTGGCTCTGCATTCGGGGCATGTCGCTTCTGCCAAGTTACTTGTCAAGGCTGGTGCAAAGAAAAATCCGCTGACCTTGGCAGGCGAAACCCCGCTGATGAAAGCAGTACAGAAGGGCGGCAACCGGAGCACCATCCGATGGCTTGTGAGACATGGTGCGCAAGTTGACCAGCGGTCCAAGTCTGGCATGACTGCCCTGCGGTTGTCAAAGCAGAAGCAGTTCAGTGATCACCAGATTCTACGCCAACAGCTTCGTCACCTTGTGCGGTCGATGCAGTACCCAAATGCCACGCTGTGGCATACCAAGCAGGCAAAGACCGAGAGCAATATTGCCAAAGCCAAAGAGCTCATGGAGCGTGAACCAGAGGCCGCTGTCCTCTTCAAGCAATTGCTGCAGCTGGCACGAGATGAGGCTTCAGCGAAGAATCTGTCCAAGTTTCTTGTGCAACAGACGCCACAAGCGTCCAGTACTTTGGTGCAAAAACTAGGCTCAACAACATGGTGGTCAGCGTTTCTGCAGAAGCTGGACGCAGCCAAGTACTGCTTGGCCTGGGGCATGATCCTTGGTGCTCTAGGCGGATCAGCTCTGGCGTGCATGAAATTATCCTGGTCCGAGACAGAGAACAGCAGCAATGAAGATGGGCTGGAGCTTGGGGCTCGTCGGATTGCCCTCAAGGCTTTGGTTCCAACGGCATACCGCCTACGATGTCAGGCTTGGCGCGCTGTGGAAGCTGCGGTGAGCTTTAGGATGATTTCTACTTCGTTGTGTTTTTTCTTCAGGTTCATACTTGCGTTATGAGGCTGGGGCCGCAACCAAGGAGGCTGTTAGCACTATCTTCCTGCCCCTGGGATATGCCATGCTGTGGTTGGATTGGAAGGTCGGAGACTTGTTCAGTTAAGCTTGCCGAAATCTAGGTGGCCATGCTTCCAGAAGCACGCACGAAAGCCAGGGTTGCATATCTTAATATCGCTCAGTGCCCAGCAATACAGCTGAAGACCTAAAGGTAAGCATGCACGGTTGGGTGGTTCGGCGATCTGCCAGCCTTGTCCTGAGGTCATGGGCGCGTTTTATGTCACCTTCTACATCCTGCCGGCTAGTCTTCATTTGGGTTGGTCTGAGATCAGAAAGCATCCGGTTCTGGTCTTGGTCGACTCGGGAAAAGCGGTCTCAGCTGTAACGTTCTTCCGGGTGCTGGCCACTTGTGCTCTGTTGTACATCACAAATGCCATGCGTCATGAGTGCAATGATGAAGTACACTACTTGGTTTATGGGGAGTTCGAACACAAAGACAGATGCAATGGTCCCCTTTCCCAGCTCATGGTCAACAGTCATGGTCTTCCGGGCTGGCTAGGGGAACCTATACTCAGCCGTAGTTCGGCTGAGCTAGTATGCCCAGCCACAAACAAGATGACCTCTGCCTCTGACTGGTACTTCGACTATTTGGGTTTCATCTGGTGGCTTTCGCTGCTTTGGCTCGCACTTGTACTGCGAAACATAGTGGCACAGATCAGTGGATGCAGCCGGCAGCAGGATCTCGAAAAGAGAAGCTCACAGGTGCAGCGGCTAGCCCTTGAAATCCGGTTTGCAGGAAATCGCCAGGGCATCGAAGAACTCACCAGAGCGCAGCAAATCGTTCAGCCTGAGGAGGCCTGGGCGGTTCCTGCCGGCATCTTCCCGCGTCTCTTGCTATGCCTGGTTGATGCTGTGATCATGGACCTGCTAAGCATCTTCAACTACATTCGCAGCACACAGTCCGTTTTTGCAGGGATATTGATTTTCATTACAGCCTTCTCCTTCTTCCTGGAGTGCATTGCAGGAGGTGTCTGTGGCTTGGTGCGAGAGGTCCGCGTCTCAATTGAGAAGGGCATTGTGACGTCCAAGCTGCAGACCTTCCTAGAGCTAGAACAAAGTTTCGAGGCTCCACTGGCCCTTTGTTTCACAGTTTATGCATGGAATTTCAGCATTCAGGACCAGTTCTCACTCGTACAGGGCCTTGCTTCGCTGGCTATTTCGCTGTACAGCTTTACCGATTACATTTGCTGGTTGGTGGACTTGGATCTGCACAAGCCACAGCAGCTCGGTGCAGAAGATTTGAAGCTTTATTGGAAACTGAAAGAAGAAGCCTCAGGGACTCAAAGTCCACAAGGTGAAGCCACTTCAGCATTCTGCTGCTGGGGCAATAAGAGCCGAGTCCTCGTAGCGTTATGAGAACCCAGCCAGCCACAGACTGGAAATCCAGGAAAAAAATATTGGATCAGGAAGTCAAAGCCACCCTTGCGTTGTTTGATGGCTTTCTGAGGGCTTCACTCCCAGTTGCCAAAGGCCATGGGCTTCCCTCCTGCATCCTAAATGGCCAATCCATGTGCGATTGCCCATGCCATATCCAGCAGCCTTTGCGTCGCCCACACCTCAGGGCTGCAATCGACAAGCCCCCCCTTTAAGCCCCCCTTAAGCCCCCCCCTTAAGCCCCCCGGCTTAAAGCCCCCTTCAACCCCCCCTTTAAGCCCCCCTTAAGCCCCCCTTTAAGCCCCCCTTTAAGCCCCCCTTTAAGCCCCCTTTAAGCCCCCCTTTAATGAAATTTTACAAAAGCGAAATCGTCTACTCAATCAGGTGATCTCAGAACTGCTCAGTTCAATCAAGCACAATCAACAAGCACAAACTCTGCTGTGTGATGCAATCACTCGAGCTCAATGTTTTCCGACTTGAGCCAAAGTTGATCCAGCAATCCTTTGATGACCAATGCATCTCTGTGTGGATACAAAGGTGATCTGACCAATCATCCTAACACGGTCCCTCGAATTCGCAATTCATTGCAAATTCGCATCAGGTCAGATTCTCGAAACAATTCAAACTTCATCCAAAAGATATATCATCATCAAAATTCATTCAAGAAGCAACAATAGGACACGACTCAACTGCTCAGGCTCAAATCTCTTTTGCACTTCGGAACTGCAATGTAAATCTGCAAGAATCCGGCTCAAAAGACTGTACAATGCCACGTGGAAGCAACATCACGCAGTGACGTGTGGCAATGCACCGCAGCTGAGAACGATCAACCATCGATTCCGCCAATTCCAGTCAATATATTGCTCGAGGCAATTCTGAGATCCAGAAACACAGCAACGACGTCGAAAGCCAATCAGCAGCTCATCAAAACTGTTGCACTCAGGCAATGCACCTAGCCAATCGTGACATGGCTGCCATTCGGGACCACAATGGTCGTGCCAATGGATGGCACCGCTTCGGGCACCGAACCACGATGCTCCAATGGGCGACTGGCTGTGCCGCCAATCTCCACCTCGTTCATGTCATCATCAATGCCGCACATCGAGAAAACATCCCTCAATGCCTTCGGGTAGGCAACGGAGCGCGTGAAGCCCATCTGGAAGCCAATCGGGTTCGCAATGGCATCCTGGTGGATTGCCCATGCAAGGTCCAATACCGTGCATCCCAATTCCACCACCAAAGCCAGGTCCCGCTGCAATGGCGACAATGCGAAGTCGGTCGCCACCATGAGCGTCGTGGCAGGCACATACGACTGGTTATGCCAATTGCTCAACCCCCCGGTGAAGCTGGGGTTCTTGGCAATCGGGGCCATGAAGGCCTTTGTTGGCCGAAAGAAGACCAATGCCGCAGACTCCTGCCAATGGGCCTCCAAGTGGGTCTGCCTGACCCAATGGGCGAGCTTCGCCACGGCTCCTTCAATTGAGAAGGCGATGTTCAGCTGGCGGCATGGGAGACAATCCCAGTCCAGCTCAATGTCTCCCTCAGCATCATCGGTATCCATGCCCACCAATGTCCGAACCAGACTCAAAGGCAAGCAGACAATTGCCCACAAATTGGACAATGTCTCGTCGTATCGTCCAGCTCCCAATGCCTTCACCAGGGTCGTCTGCTGAACCAATGCCTTGATCCAATCCATGTGTGGCAACGCAGTGTAGGAGCCAATGGCCGTTGAAAGATCCACCGCTTCACCAATGGCCGCCGCGCAGCGCTCAATGAGCATCTTGACCTTTAGGCTCATACTACACCAATGGTCGTTGCCAGTTGGCAATGGCGCCGTCGCAAACCGGCAATTCAGGACGCGCAGTGGGTCCAATGCCAGCTGTGGAATCTGGCGTGTCCGAGCCACCAATGCGGAGGTGACACGATCGATCAAGATTTCGAGACGCGCCAACAATTCCGCCAAGGCCAATACACCAGTCTCTTGCGGGTGAGCTCCAATGAGCGACAGCGTGATCTCTTCCTCCAATGGGAGGGCACTCACAATGGAAGCCAATAGGGTCCAGAGCAAGGCTTCTGGTCCGAATTGGCCAATGGCCAGCGTGACCAATCGCTCAAGATTGGCCAATGCCGTCTTCCTGAGCTCAATCCCAACACCTTGGGACGACACAATGCCGCAACTGTTCTCAATTGCAGCGTTGTCCATGGCTGCAATGGGGCTTCGGAGGTGCACAATGCCCAACTGAATGCTCTCGTGACTGCAATCACAGCAAAGAATTCAACAAAACAAAATTCCCAAAAGCACTTCCAAGATCACAATTCACCTAAAAGGAAAATCGGAAAATCCTAAAGGAGAAAATAAAATACTGGAAAACTTGAAGAAGCAATCTATGTACAATGTGCTAGTTAGAGAGGTTCTACTCTAAACACTATGCTGCTGTACAATGCGTTGTTGCGTGTGGTCAATGTGTTGTTGCTTGCAAGGGCGAGTTTTCGTTGTGCAATGGGTGCTGACGCATGCAATCTTTTGTTTGTAGCCTGGGCATGGCGTATGCGAAGCAATGTAAGGAATCAAAACGCGAAACCAATACATGTCCCCATGTGACACAAGCATCAATGCAGACAGTGTTTGTCAATGCCATGTGACACAAGCAGCAATGCAGACAATGTTTGTCAATGCCAATGCTCTTCTTCTTCTCTCTCTCGGTCCCTCAGTCAGAACATGTAACATGTGAAGACTGAACATGCAATGCCAAAAGGAACACGTGAAACAATTTTTTTTTAAGGGTAAGTGAAACGACGCCAGTGCTTCAGTCACAATCGGAAGTCGTTGCGGATCAATCCTAAGCGATTCAGCAGAGACTGCAATGTCTCCGTGGACACATACTTCGTGAGAAGATCAGCACAGTTGTCCTTTGTGCCAATCTTGCACACTCGCAGCATGCCTGCGTCAATCAGATTCTGCATGTACAGATACCTAAGCTCAACGTGTTTTGTACGCTTGCCAGTTCCAAACCGTGAGGCAATAGACTTTCCAGCCGTGCTATCCGTGTGAACAGTAATGCGCACCTTGCGCGCAAATTCTGCTTCAAGGATGATCGACTTTACGTACAAAGCTTCGTTAATGCCTTGGCCAATAGCATACAGTTCTGCTTCGCCGGAAGACAGTGCTACGGTAGCCTGTGTGCGAGATGTGTGCACTATGGGTGAGCCAAGCAATTGCACCGTGCTTCCGCTCGTCGACTTTCTTGTCTTCGAGCAACCGGCCCAATCACTGTCGACAAAGCAAACGAGTTCCAGGCTCGACTTCCAGTCTGTCAACATATGAGTCGGGCGCAATCTAAGCACCGTGTGCCGAGTACCGTTCAGATACCTCAGCAAATGCTTAAGCTTGGCGAGGCTCTCCAATGTGGGTCCTTTCACATCGCGACTGAGCTCCTTCACCGCGTAGGAACAATCGGGCCTTACGAACGCTAGCCAAAGCAATTTTCCAACTGCTGTGCGAAACTTCGAGTGCTCCTCTTTGTCAAGCGGGGTGTCAGAATCTTGAACTCTCTTCAGGGCTGAGGAGCCTGTTGTGTTCACAATGTTCGAGCTAGAGTTCATGCTATAAAGCTTCAGAATCTCTTCAATGTACTGTTGAGACATGAGGATGTCGATGGAATCTCCATTATGGCGCAGTTTCCGTCCTAGAAAGGAATGCTCGCTCCCTGCTTCCAATCGTCCAGTGATCTTCACAAGAAGCTCTTTGTTGAGAGAATCAATGAAAGCTTTGGACTGTTCGGGGTCTCCTACAATCATCAAATCATCAACATACGCCAAAACATAGAGCTGTTTCGAAGAGTGACAGTACAAGTTGCTATCGGACTTGCAGCGCCGGAATCCCAACTTTTGCATGGTCTTAGCAAAATGTTCTTGCCACAATCGTGGACTTTGCTTGAGTCCATACATAGCCCTGTTGAGTTTCCACAGACAATTTCTCGTTGGATAGTACTCTGCAGGAGGAACGACGAAAATCTCTTCACCTGCGCCAATAGCGGCGTGAAGAAATGCAGTTGAGATATCTGCAAGGCTGATAGACCAATTGCGAGCTAAGGCCATGACAAGAAGCAATCTCATCGTCACAAGCGAAGGCGTGCTTGCAAACAATGAATCTGTGTCTAACTTCGTCGCATCTTGGTAACAACCTTGAACGACCAATCTCATTCGCAATTCCGTGTCCGTCTTCCATCTTTTCACCCAACGAACTCCAATGGCATTGCTGATTTGCTCTTCTGTACATTTTTCAATTGGGACCTCAGTGTACACGTTGAAATCCTTCATGGAGCCCATTTCGTGATCCATTCCTTTCTTTTGGGCCAATTCAGGATATTCACGCGTGATGTCCCAAATGATAGGTTCAGTGAGCTTCAATTCAGTGCGATACTCATCTTCATCGTAGTTGACATGAACTGGAACCTCAACGCCATCCTTGGTGATAGCCTTGTTTACTCCTACAGTAGCACCAATCAGCTGCATGACTGCAGCAATCTTCCTAGACTTCGGTGACGGTTCTGCTACAGGAGCCTCGGGGTCAATGCGAAGAGACTTAGCTGCTCTCTCGTCTTCCGCAGCTTCAGCGGGCCTCACAATTCCTGCGGAGGAAGATGCAGGTTGTTCAGCAATTGACGTGTCAGCTCTTCTCTCTGGCATGTCCTCAAGTTGCAATGGCTCTGTTTTGAGGTTTTCGGTCCTGACACCTTCTTTGGGCTCTGCAGGTGGCGTCAATCCAGGGGGGTCTCGAACCTTTCCTATTACAGTCAACGACTTAGGCAATACAAACTCGGTAGTGTGTTCGCCATCAGTCTTGGGCTTCCAAGGAAGAGCCTTGAGTCCATTGACAATGTCGGGCTGCCAATGCTGAGAAGGAGGAGTCCTTCTGACTGTCCTGACCTTAGTCACTCCTTCGTCAGTGGCAACAATGATCTCGTCTGCCTCAGTGTCTC